AATTTGCTCTGCCCTGCACAAGGATTGGTGCACCCTGTCTCGTGGCACTGTGTGGGCATGGCTTCAGGTGTTCCTAAGTTTGTGCCGCAGTCTTGCAAGCTTGGAGCCACGGACAGCAAAGCATGCGTCGCTTATTCCAGGAAGATCAAAGCATCTGCCTTGTGACTTATTTATTTGGAAGGTCACAGTGGTAAAGACAGAGAATCATGACGTACAAAGAATTTCAGTTCCAGAAATGTCTGTGATCCATCTGCCATCGTTCCATCTCAACCTCTGGAGAAGGCTCCTTGTAGACACTATTCTGCGTCGCAGGCTGATACGCAGCTGGCGCAGTATTTTCCTCAAGGATGTTTGCCTGTGCGGATTGGAACAAAGAATGTAGTATGTCTCGCGCAGAAGGAGGGTAAGTCATGGCCAAGTGCCAGGCAGAAACTCTGCTCCAAGGGCACTTTGCCTGAGAAGAGCAGTACGCGGGCACAGCTTGCTGTGCTCCAGGAGAGGGTGAAGATTCTTGGAGTGTTTGAGATTAGCAAAAGACAGTAAGAGAACAGTCTCAGGATGTCAAACCTACATTCACAAAAATACAAACCCATGAGGTCGGGATTGGAGTGCGATGTGCTTCAGGACGCTTCCTTGAACCTGTAGGAGACACCACCCAAAATTAGCCGTACGGCCTGACAGTCAACCACTGAAACCGAGATAGTCAACCATCTCAGGTACAAACTATGCCATGATCCCTTACGAATGCACCATTGACAAATCTTTCCTTGCTTCAAATCGCGAGTCCATGGCTGCAAGACTGCACTGGAGGTGCCCGATACCTTGTTCTTTCAAGGGGCCCGGATCGTTTTGAGGCACACCAGCATCTTATCCTCAAATATCCGTGGGATAAGAGCTCCTGTCTTAAAAATTTACCGATTTGTCAGAGCCCCGGGCTTTGGAACAGAAGCTCCCTCAGAGAACATGGCCCCAGGCCTTGAAAAGTCTTCGACCTCGATGGTTGCGGATTGGCAGATTCCTTCGTATAACCTGCCTGGTGGCACGCTGACTGTGCGTTCCTAGAAATCTGCCTAGGCCTAGATACAACTTGATCTTGCAAGCCTTAGAGCCAGGGAAGAGCAAAGCAAGTCTGTTCATTTCTGTTGCCTTCATCCGTCTGGCATGCCATCAAGACAATCAAGTCAAGCCTAATTATTTCCCGGAAGCCAGAGTCAGGAGCAGCACTGGGAAACGTCAGATACAAAACCTTGACAAATCTAAGTACGAGGCTCTCTTTCACATCATCCAATCTTGAACAGGGCTCCTGGTAGATGCTATTCTGCACAGGAGGCTGATACTAAAAATCTTAAGAAGGTGCACTTCTTCCTGGAGGATGATTGGGCTAGGAGCAATGTGGATTGGCACAAAGTATGCATGTTTCGCGCAGAATGTCGTCCGCTGTCCGGACTATCTTAGTTATCTTCGCAACTTGGACTCAGTGGATGAAATCCACCTGCACCATTTTGGGAAAGAAACCATGTCCACGGTGTTCGCTAGGGGTAGGGGTGCCATGACCCAACAGCCAGACCAGCGTAAACAGTGAATCTTCGATCTCTGTACCATTCAGCACAGTAAGTCCTTCGGGCTGGGTATGGCACCAGCAGGTTCCCTGCGTAGCTATTCTCTCCTGGCGACTGCAATGCAACTCAAAAGACTCTATTGCCCAGGCGGTCACAAGTCTTACGACCAGGGTCGGGCTACAGGAATGAATTTGTCCAATCCACAACTTCAAATTTAGCATCGTGGCCACGTGATCGCCCAACCACATGTGAATACAACCATGAAAAACCGGTAAATTGGGATCAAGTACACAAGTTAAGACCCTATGATGTGGGATTTGTTTATCGTCACAGCCATCTTGATCCACCATTCGTTCGCCCATAAGCCTTCGAAGTCACTAATCACCTGGAATGTGAACACCTTGGGAACATGTTCCTGGACTTCCTGCGGTTTTCCCAATGAATGCTGGCAGTGGCTTTGTAGAAACTTTATAGTGGTCCCCAAATAGATAGAACCGGTTTCGAATGCATTGTTGGTGGGGATCTACTGTTCTATCTATTTGAGGCAGGGTCATAGAAGTCAAGTTGAAAATAGCCCATGTCACCACTGATTCAGAGTTCGCTGCTGCTTGCATGGATGCTGCCCCAGGTTTGGCTCATTTTGACTACACTTTCCAGGTTTCTCCCTGTGAAATGCACTACGTGTGGCACGTGTGGCACTTGTGAAAGTTGGAAGAAAAGTCACAAAGAAAGTTGGAAGCGAACCACAAACACTTGCCGGCGCCAAGCGCCGTACGGCCCATCAAGTACCCGCCATGGTGTTGGTTGATGTTGGGGGCCACCGGTTTGACTTTGTCAGCTGGCAAACCGGCGATTGGAAGTACCGTTTCCAGACAAATCAGTGAAGGGGGTTGGAATGCACAAACCTGAGGTATGGCCGCCATGGCCCTATGAGTAAACTGCCCGAGAACCACCTACCACCACCTGCCCCGCCTATGTGCAAATCTTCTGCTCTGCGAAGGTCGAAGGACAGCACGGACAACACCACTCAGGTGCGTCCACGGCTGAATCACGGAAGCCCTTCGCGGCTGAGCACTGCAAAAAACTAGACACGGAGTGGCCTGGGACCCTGATGATGGGGTCATTGCCAGTGGTCAGTACTCGACTTGAATGATGCAAGAGCACACTTTCAGATCTGTCCGTTGCAAGTTGTTGGCTTTCACTACCATTTCTAAGCATGATGGTATTTTATCCAACTGGTCCCATGACCGCCATATATATATATATATCCGAAAGTTTGTCGTGCTGAGCGTCACCTCGGTCAGCAACCGACAGCTCCGGACAAGCTGATCAAATGCAGTTTGACAACCCCGGTCTCGCCTTCAAAGAGCGCGAAAGCTCCGTCGCCTGCCAATACATCAGGGTAGCTCGAACTTTCAACCGTTGATCTTTAAGCTACCAGCCCTAAACCTTATAGGCAATTCTGGCAATCAAATGGCCTTCTCCACGCTTCGCGTTGCTCAGCAAACTTCCACTCCGTCATGTTTGCAGCGGGAAAAAACAACTCTTTGAGCCAAAAGGCTGCCCGACTGAAAGCACTGCTGGCACCCGTGCAACCATCCTGGAATAAACAAAATAGTATGAATAATAGAATATGAACCCATCCAAAAACAGTATCTGCTTTCGAGTGATTTTTGGATGTTCCATATTCTATCTACTCCAGGATGGACTCTGAGTTTGTCCTGTCATCCACTCGACATGGGGAAGCGCCCCGTGAACTCAGTTTCGTCATTGCCATCAAAGGTTTCTCTCCTTTGTTTCCCTTGTGTCCATAACATGCCTTCACATGCCTCGAACTCATAGCTTCGCGTGCCAACAGGATCGTCACGTGGTGCGAAGGTGCCACGCTGTCGGCGTGGGTCCGTCGCTGTCGTCCTTCGCCTTCCACGCTGTCGGCTTTTTGGCGTCGAAATGGTTTTGTTTGCATAAACGTCCGCGCTGCTTCTACACTGCGGCATCAGGAGCGTGGGGACGCAGCGGCACCTCCAATTCGCCAAGGATGGCAGGAATACATGGATTGTCCAAACTGCGAGACACTCCCCTAAAATGAAGGTGCACCATGAAGGCCGCAATGTCAAGGATTGTCCAGGTAGGATTATATCACTAAATATCTCACACAAAAATATGACCAGTATCGAAATGTGTCTGGTGAGGCTGGTGGGTCAAAGCCTGGGGACCCTTCGTTGACCCATCATGAATAAACGGGATTGTCTATCTACGTGTTCTGATCTATAGGACTATAGGACCTATATATTTAAAGGACGCTACTAGGGGCTCCTGGCCTTACTACTAGGAGCAAGGACGCTACTAGGGGCGTGTTCTGATCTATAGGACCCATACACTTCCAACAAAAAGAGAATCAACTCTGCTGGCCCAGATGGCCATTTTCGAAGATTCCTGCTGCGTAGCACCACCAGCCGCGGCTCAGTCGGTTGGCGATTCCAACCGCAGAGGGCAGTCGCTCCGGTCGCACCGGCCGCCTCTCAGTTGTCGAAAGGAATTGCCTCAGTATGTGGGTAAAAGTTTGACGTTTCGAGAAAAGACACACGATTTTCTGGCATGTAGAGGAAATTGTTCTTCTTAGGGTGAATGTTCTCAGGAAGAGAAACAGCATTGCTGGGGGAGCAAAACAATGATCAATGGAAGGAGCATCAGCAACCTTCTTAGAAAACACATGTAGCTTTGCGGGTCTTGACTTCTTTGGCATATCTTCTGGAGGTCTTTTGGTGATCAACAGGGGTTTACTGGGTCTCAGTTTACATCCAGAACCAATGAAGGGGTCGTCAGAAGGTCATTGTATGAATCAGGCGGTGCTGCCAACCCCGTGAAAGTTTGATTCTTTTCTCAGGTGCATGCCAATCACTTGGGATCCCCAGTGGACACTCCTCATAGAAAGCACAAAATGAATGAAATCCTGGCCTCATTCAGTCCTTGCCCAACAGCTATTTCACGGGAGCCCGGGAGCCATGGTCAAGACGATGCGACCACCGTTGTGCCCCATTGTGCCAAGTTCAATGAACGCTTTCCTGGTCGTTTCTTGTTCCTTCCTCGCCAACACCACATGCTTCTTGAAAAGACACGACCTGCGACCATGTGACCTGTCCCGGACCCCTCGACCCGGTCGACTCTCAACGAACAGCAGGACGGGTCGGGTCTCGACCACGGTCCCCGAACGTTCAGCGTCTCATCCGCGTCGGCGAAGACAGCCCAGCAGGCCGTACCTTGGAGTGTTTTTGGAGCGATGAGTGCATAGTCACAGGATGAAGCGAAGATGGATGCTTTAAATTGGATCTGGCTAAATAGATGCTAAATGGTCTGAATGTGATCAATGTGGTTTATCCTGCAACTTCCTGCGGAGCAGGGCCGGGTTTCTGAGTCTGACATTAGGTGTGAGGAACATAAAGCACTGGGTCAAATGCTCTAAGAGCAGTTTCTCGGAGTCGCAACATTTGCATGGCAGGAATATGGATGGTTCTTTCAATACATGTGTGTAAGTACGTAGATGACATAGATATGATCTCTACTCTACCCTGGACCCTGTCGAAGGCCAAAGGCGCTCGGCTCCGCATGCCAAGCACAAACAGCATGCAATGGGCAGAAACAGCATACGCTCCTCGCATGATAGCAACTCTGCTAGAGTCCTTCTCGCACTGTGCAGAGAAAGGTATGCTTGGAATCATGACAGAGTTCCTGGTGGTTGTCCCCCAACAATGTCGATCAATTCCGAAACGCCAGGGAAGATGCTTGTAGCAACAAGAAAAAAGTTCAACTAAGGGAAGGAAGCTAGTTCCTCCAAACCAGTCTGACCAAACACGCTCATGAAATGACTCGAACACACGCTCAGGGCCTGGCAATATAAGTCTCCGGGCACACCGTCATCCTGCCGACGTGTTCTTTTTCCCCAAACAGTTTACTGTTAGGGGTTCTCAATGCTTTAAAGAATGGTCGCCTTGGTGCTGGATGGTCTGGTCGGGTTCCCGGCCGGCTTGTCTCCCACTTCCTTTCATTTGTCTCCCAGTTCTTTTCATTTGTCTCCCAGGCTGGGTGC